TAATGAATCTGTAGCACCAAGAGGGGGGAAAAAAAAAAAAAAAAAAAGAATCCCCATCACAAGAAACTTCCCTTTCAGTCATGGAATCTCCTCCTTTTCTCAATTGTAGGGAATATTTACAGGAAGAGAGAAAACTTTTTTTCTCTTAAAGAGAGAGATTCCACTACTTCGACTTCTTACATTAGTTTACTTTTATTTTTATCATGGTACAAGACGATACCACTTGGCCAGTTCTGGATGCAGGATTGGCAGTAACATTTTTCTACTAGCACTTTGGAAAAGGAGATGATCTATCACCACAGCATGTACGTAATAAAACAATTCATGTGCTACCTAAATGATCAGACTGTTGCCTGTACTTGGTAAAGGTTTTTCCAACCATACAGTGATTTAAAACAATCAATGTCTGCAAGGAAACAAAAATTAAGCAGCACACACACTGAAGATTGACTTGCAGTGAAGTGACGTTGGTAGTAAAATGCCTATAACTGTGCTACATAAAAGACAACTGACACTGAAAGTGACACGGTTTTAAGAAAGCCCTAAAGAAAACACAAAGAACAAAAAGGGAAGAAAGCTACTTTTAAAATTAGACTGCTGCAGAATATTTATGCTGGAAGGTAACTTCGAAGTGGACCCAAATGTAAACCAAGAACTCAATGTATTGAAGGATCAGATTATAGGCATGAAAGCAAATAAAAGTCTCTATCATTCTGAACCCTGGACGGCTTCAGCAATAAGAGACTAAATTTTTTTTTTGTTATGCTTTTATAAGGAAATGTATATGGTTTTGTTAAAACAAGCCTTTTAGGGAATAAGCTAAATGGCAGAAAAGTACCATCCTAATACAAAGGGCTCTGTAGCTCTCTCAACAGCATTTTCCATCTCTTAGTTAAGACATATGATTTATCTCTATTGCTTTTGAGAGGCAGTAGGATGTTGACATACATGGACAATTCTTTAGAAAGAATTAAAGCTACAGATAATTATATAGTTATACCATAACAATGTCTGAGCAAAATAAAGACACCTTGGTAGCAAACTGTTAATTGTACTTTCCTGCATAACTTGCACTATGGTCAAAAGTTAAATAGTAGCCTATAAAAATAACGTGTAATGATAATAGCAACAACATACTATAGAATCATAATTTGAAAGCACTTGAATGTACTGCAAATAAAAGTTCTGTTTTACCTAGAACTTACCACATTCTGGTTTACCCACCACACAGAAAATAGAAGCTGATGACTCTATCACACTTGATCTGCAAACTTACTGTAACACTGAAAGTAAAACCCAGAAGCACCACAATCTCAAAACTGCTTTAGAACTACAGTTATTCCACGCAGTGTATCGGCTTGGGGCTGAGCGGCTCGATGGCTGCAAAGAAGAAAGGGACCTGGGAGTGTTGGTTGATGCTTGGCTGAACATGAGCCAGCAGTGTGCCCAGGTGGCCATGAGGGCAACGGCATCCTGGCCTGCATTAGAAATAGCATGGCCAGCAGGAGCAGGGAGGTGAGCATCCCTGGCAGTGCTCAAAAGGTCTGGATGAGGAGCTGCAAGATACGGTTTAGTGCTTGTGGTAGCAGTGGTGGTGGGAAGATGGTTGGATTGGATGATCTTGTGGGTCCTTGCCAACCTTGTGATTCTATGGTTCTATGAAAATCTACTATAGCTTCATTATATAAGGAATTGTATATGATCTGCCTCTACCTTTAGGGGCATGATTTCTTACAAAGAACATACTTTCTTTTCTGCATAGGTTTCTCATAGTTGAAAGCTTGTAATGATATTGGTTAATTGCTAGATTTCAGTCACCTCTCTAACCTCTCCCCTTCAGTGGGTGTGAAAGGGTTTACTCATAGTATACACTGTACTGACTAAATTTTATCTTGTTCTCCTGGATTCTCAGCAGCAATTCCCAAGTTAGAGGCTTCCCCAGAAACAACGTCAAAGGATTCCCACCCACACACTGAATATCTAACAGGCCCTGACCCATTTTCTCCTTATTAAAGCAGCACTGCATGCTTAAAAAAATAAAATAAAATAAACAGAGAAGGTAAATGAATGCAACTATTGCAGTGGGAAATCTACCCTCTTTGGATTTGAATTATGACAAAATCACTACCAAGAAGCAGAGATGCATTTAAAATACAAACATCAAATATACTTTTCCAGTATTCTGAGTCTGTGACTTATTACTTTTACTGCCTTTCAGCAAAGTACAAGGGGACTTCATTTATTAGTTATGAATTAGAAAAATCCCCTAATTTAGGGATAGTTAAGTCTTCCAACCATATCTGTGGGCATATTTCTGCAATTTGAATTTTAATAATTTTGCAAGTAAATGACAGAAGATGAAGCATATTTAAAAAAAAAAAAAAAAAAGGAGAGATTCAACCAAGATTTGTGATGTTGCCTAGCCAGAGTTAGTAACAACTGATAACTCTGAATATTTATAGTTTCTTTATGGTATGATGCATTGTTGCAAAAGCCACAAGACTGAAGACCAACAGTGCAGTTGCTACACTGGAATATATTAACATCCTCAATTAAATGATGAAACAAGTATGACGTTCTGGTTTAAGTACAAACAAAATGGCAGCAGAAAATTTGGTTGATGTATGACTTTCAATTTGTCCAATGCACTCAATTTCTGACATAGTGAAAACCTGATTTTACCAGTTACAGTTGCATAACAGCCTTTTTTTCCTCTTAAGCTGTCATCTCCTAAGATGTGAAGCACTTTAGTAAGTCAAATAACCTCTCCCAAAACAGCGACATTAAACAGAGCTTAAAAACAACCCCAAATTAAACAACGTAGAAGTTTATACTTCTGCATTGCAGGGCTTCTGTTACATCCATGCTTATGCTTCTTATAAAAGGGACAGCCCTATATTTCCCTCTGCTTGCAGCTGCATGCACTTATTAACATTTTCTTTTGATAGCACAGCTATTTCTGTGCCTGCCTGGTGAACCAAATGAGGGAACTATATTAATTGACAGTAAACCTGAACAGATAAAGATTTCAGCTGGATGTATTCCTTGGTCATTGGTGCCAACAAAGATTTCAATTAATCCTCTCAGAAGAATTTTATCTGTTTCTAACACAATCCAGAAAATATTAAAAGGTTGAATTTTTTTAATTGTATGAGTAACAAAAGAAAATTGATTTATGAAAGCACTAAATCTTGTAACATGTTTCCAACCAATTTGTAAGCAGACCTTAACAGACTTTTATTTGTTAATAATATACTTATCACTCCTGTTCCCTTTTAACTCATTACACAACTGATGTCCCAGGGAAAGCAAATTAATAATAAGAACACATTCCAGATATGAACCTTCTCTATCTTAAGAGGGCTAACTTATTTGTCAGCTATCATAAGATGTATTTACATTTTGAAAAATGACCCACCTCTTCTTTCCAGTGGGAAAAATGAAAGCTGATGGAAAACATGTGAGAACATAGCCCTGTCTAATAGCATAGATTCAAGTGGCATAGAGTCATCTTGCACTCATTAGGACTTCAACAACAGTTTAACATTCACTTAAGAGTCCACTTCCTTCTAAGGATAACTTGCATCTCTGAAGGTGGATAACATTATGTCTGGAGCCCAAGTGACCAGGTTTATACAAGTTCACATATAAAAGCAGGAACTCAAAGAACTACTTAATTATATTGCCACAGTAAGTTATGTCAACTGCAATAATATATGGAATAGAGTGAATCCTGCAAATAGAAAATGAACAGTGTCAATCATTAGCAGAACAACGACCAGCACTTGTAAAATATCCTGATCTATCTGGAAAATAAATTTCCTTCTCACCAGGTTTGCACAGGATACTTGACTTCCAAGAATACAGTAAGTCAAGAGGACTGTTTAATATTATATGATTGTGTAGATGTTTCTGAAAAGTCTCAGATGCAAGATTAGCTTAAATCCTTCCATTTCTCCAAGACCTCTAACAATGACACATGAAGAAAGGAATGCAGTGAAACCAGCTTCTTTTGGAAAAGGTGAGGAATACCTGCTACATTGCTTGAATAGCATTGCTGTCTGTCCTAGAATATGATTAACAACCAAGTGTTTCTTTATCCACTGCTTTAATTTCACTACATATTGGAAAGATTTCCTTCTCCATAAGGAAAATTCTTTTGAAATAAATACTTCTAAGTTTTCAGCACACCAGTAAGCATCCTCTCCTTACTTTCCCTAAACTTTAGATTTAGTTCTTCTATATTATTTAATTTTCTATCTACATGTTTTCATTTCCTGGTGAAATGTAAACAACACCTAGCTCTTGATGAAAAGTACATTCATCTCTGCATGCTGCATACCTGCACACAAACATATTCATGCTCTGTGTTGTTTCTTGAAGAAAATAAAGAAACAAGAGATTTGTATAACAAAAGAGCCCTTAGAAATTAGCATTTAGCCTCTGATCATTTCACAAATTCAGTACTACTTAACAATAAAATTGAAGTGTGAGGTAAATGATCTTTACAAAGAAACAGTAGCTTATTAAATAGTTCAGTAGTATCTGAAGTCAATAAGACAGACATAATACCAAATTAAAATTTTTCCTGAAGAAAAATATTCACTGATCCATACTTAAGTTACATTATTCCTTTTTTTTTTTTTGTGAGATATTTACCAGTAAGTATTTATTTTAGCAAGACTTTGCTATGAGGATAATCTTAAAGGAAGCAGAGCACTGGTTCATTTGAAACACATTTTGTATTTAAAATTGGCTACTAGAAACATGCTTAAAATTTTCAGAGTACAAAATATGCATTTTAGTACAAAGACCTTAAGACTTGCATGCAAACATTCACAAATGAATTGAACTGGATCTCTTTTATTAGGTATATACAGTATACAATGTAATGCCTACATAAAGGCATTGCAAAGTATACATAAAAATTATGAAAACTTAGAACTGTGTAGGTAGTAACACAGCATCAACCATATTTAAGTCAGGAAAAGGCAACTTACGGGTAAGATTCTGAAAGCTGCTGAGCTATTTTATAAGCCATGGGGTCCCTGTCCAATGCATATATTGTAATGTTGCTGGCTTTCTCTAGAAGAGCTGTACTATGACCTCCGGCTCCAAACGTCATATCAAGGAAACGCTGAAATACAGAAGAGAACACCATTACCTCATAGCAAACCATAACAGATGGAAAGAAAATCCTGAACTGAAGGGGACCTGCAAGAACTACTGAGTCCAACCTCTTGCTCCAGACAGAACTACCCAAGCTCAAACCCTACATCTGACAGTGATGCCTAAACACTTGAACTCTGGCAGCTCGGCGCCATACCCACTGCTCTTTTCCTAACCCCCACTGGGCCATCCCCTGGCAGCTCCGTGCCATTCCCTCGGGTCCTGTTGCTGTCACCAGAGAGCAGAGCTCAGCGCTGCCCTCCTCTCCCTGTCCTGCATCCAAGTCACTGCTGAAAACATCAAAGAGAACTAAGCCTAAAATGGAGCCCTGGAAAGGGCTGCCAGGGAGGTGACTGAGTCACTGCCTCTGGAGGCGTTCAAGAAATGTTTACATGTTGTACTAAGGGACATGGTTTAGGGGGAAGCATTAGTGGTAGGTGGACAGTTGGACTGGATAATCATGGATATATTTTCCAACCTTGGTGATTCCATTATATTTGCAATTCTGCACAAAATATAAAATCACTTCAGAATAAACATTTGGATGGCTTTGGACCCCCTATCCACAAAAGAACCATCATTTGGTCCAGTCAGCCATAGATTCGTTCTGAATTAAAGGAAAGCTACTTGTTTCACTGCTTGATTCAACTTGTATTGAGCCATACGAAGATATTTAAGACGTAGGGCTATATGAAGTCATCAGTACCATCTGCTTTGTAAGACCATCTAAAAGGAAGGCTGATGGATTGATGTATAAATATTAACAATGACAATATTGCAGTTTTACACCACAGATCAAAGTGTCATACCAGTGCAGGAACACATTTTATAACTGGGACTAACTTAACTATTGCAAAAAATGTAAGTTTTGAAGACAGTAGTATTGATTTCAGGCTCAGTGTGAGAGTACTGGGGTATGTTTTTAGATTACCAAGACATCACCTAATAGCAAATACAGAATAATAAGGGATACCTACCTTAACTGCAAGCATTTTTCAGTTGTCAGGTGTGACTTACTCTGAGGGCTTAAAGTTGTACCATTTGATAAACAACATCAATTTCTGTGCTTCTGAGGAATGTCTACTACCCCATACATACATCATTCTTTTTCTTTCAGTATACAAATGAAAGTTTTCAGTAACACCAGACACGATCTTCTGTTACTAAAGTTGAAGACAATCAAGGAATTCTGAATTCTCTCAGACTAAACCAGACACAGGTATGAATTCAGTACAAATTAAGGAAGAATGAACAACGCAGTTCCTGGAACAAGACTCTCATAACCCCAAAGTCCCAGGTAGGATCGCACATTTCATATTCCCATGATCAAAACTTCACCAAAGGAAAAAAAAAAAACCAGCAACAGAAGACTTTCTATCTCATACTATCAAACCTCACGCAGAAATAAACTAACTTCAAAGGACTGACTAACTCAGCCGCATTCATCCAAGAGGACACTTGGGAAAACCATCTGCCTGCACAGAAGGGAGGCTGCTATATATCTTCTGTAGACTCCACTTCAGAGAGGTTTCTTCAGTCAAGGTCCATTTGACCACTAGGCTGACCAGGCAGCTTTGCTCCTGATGCTCTTCTAGGACATGGTCAGCCACCTCAGAGCAAGGCAGGCTGAGCCAATAAATCCTAGAGCAATACAAGCAAGCGAGCTAAAATTTAATGGTGTTTTGTCTTTTGTATGTATGAAACAGCAGTTCTGTTTTTAGCAGCTGCCCTGCAGGCCTTACTCCTTCTGGCTGACAACCATGGTACTTAACTGCTCAGAAGTCAAGAGCTACTTTGTCGACAGAAATAGCTACCTCTTCACTTTCAGGGGTTGCATGACTATGCTTTCATTTTGAATAAAATTGAATAATTCTACAGTCTAGGAATAACATACTAGAGTTTAGGGACAAAAAAGTTATTGTTTAATACCAGTATATTTTAACCCAAGTAGACGTGAGACTGAAAAACTATCTTTCTTGGTTTTGGCATCTCTGAATTCCCACAACTCTGTCCTCTCAGTTGACTTAACTGACCTCTGCTGCTGGCATAGGGGCAGAAATTAGACTCCATGCAAGCTAAACCAAACCAGAAGAACAGATTCTTCATATCCTCCAATGTGAATTACAGACTTTTTTTTAATCTCCAATTATTTTTTTTTTTTTATATGAAAGTTTTTAAAAACCACTTATGAAGAAAATCAAATTACACAGAATTCATCTGAACAATGCTTTCAAGTATTACCCATCCCAAAGTATCTCTTAAGAGAAAAATTACAAAGGAGATTCAACTGAGGAATAAAATGGGAAATAGGTCCTTGGAATAAAATGGGAAATTCAAAGGCAATGGAGACCAGAATTGAAAAAAAAAAAAAAAAAAAAAAAAAAAAGCACAAACTTTTATGTTTTCTAAAAACAGCTTTTGGAATAAAAAGCTTTAAGGAAATCCCTTGATCATTATAGAAATTTCATAACAATAAAACTGACTATTTATGAAATTAAGAACAGCTAATAAATTGCATCCGCAGTTGTGATAAAAAGCTATCAGGACAAAAAAGACTTTACAGACTGCTAACATGCTACCACATCGTTATTCTAGTCAGCTGGACTTGGAAAAAAATCAGATCACAAAAATTCAGACATTTATCTAAACCACCTGAATTTATTATCTTGTTTTCCCACTGATATTGTACAGTACTGCATGCTTTCTTTGGGACAATTAAGACAAAGTTCAGAGAGCAAAGATTTGCCTTCTTAAAAGTCAATCATTTAAGAAAAACCCCGGCATTTGATTTGATTGCTCAAAATTAAAGGAGCTAATGACTAGAAGTGAATAGCCCTTCAAGCTCTTACTGCATACACTTTACAGTCTAGTGGTTAAGGCACTTGAGATTCACTCAAAAACTCACAACTCTAACAAGTACTTCTCCAGAAGCACCCAAAGAAGTTGTGAAAAGAAACCTCAAGAAGACAGACCCAGTTCAGCACTATTTAGTCTTAACCTGATTCTACCTCCTTACCTGTGAATAAGGATTACAACTGCCATTGTATGCTCAGTTTCTGAAGTCTTTGCACACTAAAAAACGCCAGCAGTATTCAACTTGCGTTGAGCATGCCTCTGTTGGTGAAGCAAGAGCAATAGCATAATGTCTTTGAGCAAAACACCAAGGAGCAAGGACATAATACCCCTACCATAAAAGTGATTCCATAATCTATTTAGGCATTCACAAAACTGAAAAAAAAAAAATGGGATTTTTTTTTTTTTAAATCATAACTAGAAGAACTTAGCTAGCTTTTGAAAATATTTACATACACCAATTCCAAGCTACTAAAAATATTGCTCAGTCACTATCAATCAGCTTCAGGGAGCATCTCTTTCTCAAAGCGTCCATTTGTTGTGGATGTTTTGCACTGCACCACTATAACATCACAATCACCTTGTCTATTGCTTGCAGATGTCTCGCATAAGATTATACAGCCTAAAATAGATGGATACAACAGCCTACAGCGTCACTTTGGAGGGCATTAAAAACAACCAGTTTTTTGGTTGTTGGGTTTTTTGGTGGTTGTTGGGTTTAATTTGTTTTTTTTTTTTTTAAAAAAAAAAAAGCAACTAAATGCTCATATTTGATATCATAAGCTACAAATGTGCCACTTGAGTTTTTTGAAACTTAAGCAATGTCTTTCCTGAAGCAAACTTGCAATGTCACCCAGAGTCAAGGAAGGCATAGGAAGAGGTAGAAGTAAGTAGCTATTCATGTGTTCCGTAAGAAGTCTGGAACAAAGTTACAAGTAATGTGAAGTTCTAGAACATAGTCTTTTTTCACTGACAGGCTTATCAACTTGTTTATTACTTGTTCTTTTTCCAAACACTGAGTTATTCTTTGGTGTACTCTAGGACATACTGCACAGATTTGACCTCTTGCTTCTTCTCTCTCACTAGTAAGTCTCACTATGTCCACTCAGAACTTATGAAGTTAGAGGTAGGGTTGTTTTTTTTTTTTATGTAACTATATATCCAGACAATTTGGTTATCTAAACAATATTCAGATGCTGCTTTTAACACTGCTTTTTTTTTTTTTTACACCTTCCAAAGGAATTTATCAAGACTGTGTGCCTCATGTCAGTTAAGAATACTTGGCTGTTATTCTGCTTAACAATCTCACCTCTACTCACAAACACGTGCCTCTGCTTTCACTAATTTAAAATCTGATTAACTTGTAGCTTGGTAAACCCCTTGTGCATGCTGAATATTAACAATCCATAGAGATCTTATACAGAAGCAAAAAATTCATACTGGCAGACGAAAGAAAAGATAAGGATCATTGTACCATGGCACAAATGACACGCTCTCAATACAGTGACAGCATCTAAAAGCTTCAGTTAAGAATTCACGCAAGCATTCACTGTGAATGAACATGAGCTCACTAAACTATATTGCTCTTCAAAAAAATAAAAAAGAATTAAAAGGCCAAACTTTTAAGCAAATGCTGACACCTGTAACAAGATCTTTAAACTGGGATCTCAACACAAAAGAGGCTACAGCTCTGATTCAAGTAGAAGTGACTGCAGGACATAGTACTAAATAGAACACCGCATCACCAGCATCGATGGAGTAGGAGCAAGCATTCTTGGCATCCTAGCTGATCTTCTAAGGCTAAATTAAGTACATCCTAACATAATGTTAAGGTTAAAAAAAAAAAAAAAAAAAAGGCCTTCTAGACCTTCTATGGATAGTCTTGGAAAAGTGGAGGTACATATATCTACAATGGAAAGCTAGAACCTAATATAGATGCCTCATAATCTGGCAACATTTTGCATCTGAAACCTAAAAAAAAAAAATAATAATAATAATCACGTTAAGATTGCCCATTGAATTGCTTTTATTGCTAACACAACTACTTTGGAGACTGATCAGATTTTAAGTCACTGCCTGTGCTATATTTTCATGTCATCTATATATAAAGCAGTA